ATCCCAAACACCCACTCCCATTCAGCGGCAGAGAAGAGAGACAATATAAGTTCATTGCTGTTGTTTATGATGACTGTACATTTTTTATTGTATGGACCCAGTAGTAGACCAACTGAAAAAAATGTAGATTGTTCACCATATTGTAACCATTTGGCTACACTGTTATGAGACGAGGCAAGATCACAATCAATCATCAAGTTTGGTAAGTTTACTATACAGGATATTGCAAGGGTTATTAAATGTGGTGAACTGTACACAATCTTGAACAGTGTTATGCAATCAGAGAGGTGGAGGAGAATTGTAGAAGATTTTCTGTACTGTAAAAGTTAAAATCCTAAGACTTTCACTAAATTTAGAGAAAAGTAATTGAAATTACAAATTCTGACATGATCTGACCTGAGGGTTTCCAGTGTACAATGTGGACTTCCCAGTCCACCACAAAGCAGCTTCACTCCTGAATCCTGCAGGTTATTGTTACCCAGGTCCAGCTCTCTCAGACTAGAGGACTGGGAGCTGAGGACTGAGGACAGAGCTTCAAGACTTGTCTCTGGGAGGTTACAGCCATTCAGTCTGGAGAAGATAAATGACATTAGTGTTAAATATTGAGTCTGGTGATACAGGATACAATCTCTTATCAGCGCACATTAAAATCCTTGCTGTTTTATTCTAAATAAGTTGGAGTCGTAACAATTAATGATGACTAAAACAGGAATAAACAAACATTCACTAATCAAAGTCACATGATATCAAAACATAGATGAAGTTCATACTTCATGCTGTGCAATAAGTAAATCTGAAATGGAACAAACATTAGAAAAATATTTTCTGGACTGTTTTATCTTATATCCTTTCACGACAGATCACAAAATCCCAAGGAAAGCCTGTTTAAATTAATGGAGCTTGAAATAAAACTGACTTCATCTGACCTGAGAGTTTCCAGTGTACAATGTGGACTTTCCACTGCAGCACACAGCAGCTTCACTCCTGAATCCTGCAGGTTGTTGCTACTCAGGTCCAGCTCTCTCAGACTGGAGGACTGGGAGCTGAGAACTGAGGACAGAGCTTCACAGCTTCTCTCTGAGAGGTTACAGCCACTCAGCCTGGAGAGACAACAGTATGGAAACATTATTTTTGTCTCCTCTTAATATATAGAGTATTTATTGATGATTAAATCTCACTTACAGAGCTTTCTTGGAGGCTCTGACCACTGGCAGCAGCCTCAGAATAGCCTCCTCTGAAGCAGAGTTATTTCTTCAGGTCAAACACGTCCAGATCTCTTTCTGATGAAAATAAGATGAAGACCAGAGCTGACCACTGAGCAGGTGAGAGTTTATCTGTGGAGAGACTTCCTGAACTCAGGGACTGTTGGATCTGCTCCACTAGAGAACGATCCTTAAGTTCATTCAGACAGTGGAACAGATTGATGCTTTTCTCTGCAGAGGGAATCTCTTCGATCTTCTTCTTGATGTACTCGACCGCTACCTGATTGGTCTCTGAGCTACTTCCTGTCTGTGTCAGCAGGCCTCGTAGGAGAGTCTGATTGGTCTGCAGTGAAAGTCCCAGGAGGAAGCGGAGGAACAAGTCCAGGTGTCCATTTGGACTCTGTAAGGCCTGGTCCACTGCACTCTGGTAGAACTGTGTCACTGCAGATTCATCTTTTCTTGTTTCAGACTTCTGGGAGGTTGATTGTTCTTCTGCCAGCAGATTGACACCAGAGTTGATGAAGGTCAGATGGACATGAAGAGCAGCCAGAAACTCCTGAACGCTCAGATGGACGAAGCAGAAGACCTTGTCCTGGTACAGCCCTCTCTCCTCTTTAAAGATCTGTGTGAACACTCCTGAGTACACTGAGGCTGCTCTGATATCGATGCCACACTCTGTCAGGTCTGATTCATAGAAGATCAGGTTTCCTTTCTGCAGCTGCTCAAAAGCCAGTTTTCCCAGAGACTCAATCATCTTCCTGCTCTCTGGACTCCAGGTTGGATCCGTCTCAGCTCCTCCATCATACTTTACATTCTTCAGTCTGGACTGAACCACCAGGAAGTGGATGTACATTTCACTCAGGGTTTTGGGCAGATTTCCTCTCTTTCTTGTCTTCAACACCTCCTCCAGAACTGTAGCAGTGATCCAGCAGAAGACTGGGATGTGGCACATGATGTGGAGGCTTCGTGATGTCTTGATGTGGGAGATGATTCTGCCGGCCTGCTTCTTATCTCTGAATCTCTTCCTGAAGTACTCCTCCTTCTGTGGGTCAGTGAACCCTCTGACCTCTGTCACCATGTCAACACACCCAGGAGGGATCTGATTGGCTGCTGCAGGTCGTGTGGTTATCCAGAGGCGAGCAGAGGGAAGCAGGTTCCCCCCTGATGAGGTTTGTCAGCAGCACATCCACTGAGGTGGACTCTGTAACATCAGTCAGGATTTTAGTGTTGTGGAAGTCCAGAGGAAGTCGACACTCATCCAGACCGTCAAAGATGAACACAACCTGGAACTCTTCAAACCTGCAGATTCCTGCTTCTTTGGTTTCAGGAAAGAAGAGATGAACAAGTTCCACCAAGCTGTACTTTTCCTCTTTCAGCACATTCAGCTCTCTGAAAGTGAATGGAAATGTGAACTGTATGTCCTGGTTGGCTTCGTCTTCAGCCCAGTCCAGAGTGAACTTCTGTGTTAAGACTGTTTTCCCAATGCCAGCCACTCCCTTTGTCATCACTGTTCTGATTGGTCGATCCTTTCCAGGTGAGGGTTTAAAGATGTCTTCTTGTCTGATGGTTGTTTCTGGTCTGTCTGGTTTCCTGGATGCTGTTTCAATCTGTCTGACCTCATGTTCATCATTGACCTCTGCAGTCCCTCCCTCTGTGATGTAGAGCTCTGTGTAGATCTGGTTCAGAAGGGTTGGGTTTCCTGCTTTAGCAATCCCCTCAAACACACACTGGAACTTCTCCTTCAGGTTAGATTTAAGTTTAGGCTGACAAACTGAAGAGGGAGTTCCTGAATGAACAAACAACAAAAAAGATCAATAATTGATTTAAAAAGAAAGTGGCAATTTAATTCCCATATAGAATGCATATACAGTATCTCACAAGTGAGTACACCACTCACATTTTTGTAAATATTTGATTATATCTTTTCTAGGGCTGTAACGGTTTTGAAACCAAGAAATCACGACACAAAATTCCTGTGGTCTGATCAGACCAAGATAAACTTATTTGGTTCAGATAGTGTCAAGCGTGTGTTCCAACAACCAGGTGAGGAGTACAAGTGTGTCTTGCCTATTAAATTCGTTGCAAACTAATTTATTGACCGATTCGTTCATGATGTCATCGGGCCGTAATGACATGTTATGTGAACAGTGAAGTTACTAAAACAAAACATCAGCGCTGCAGTAACACCTTCACAACCTAAAACCTCTAAAGTGTGGCAGCATTTCACTGTTGACTCAGCCAAAAAGGTTGTTAACTGCAGTATCTGCAAAGGTGAGCTTTCCTGGAAACACTGGAGCATCTGAAGAGGAGGCACGTAACGTTGTTGCTCTGTGGATGATGAAGCCTCATCTTGGTAAGCTATTTAGCTATTTAATTGATTGTTAATAGTGCTGAGAGTAGCACATAATTATGATACACAATGGCCGCGTTCACATTCCAGATGTGCCCTGACTTTTCAATCATAAACGAAGCATCGCTCATGGCGCCGTTCCCAGCTGAAGAATGTGTTGCTGCAGAGTGCGCAAGATTAGACAACACCAGACAATGTCATACTTTCTAAAGAAGAGAAAAAAGTTCTTCTGTCTACGCATAAGGCGGCGGGTAATCTGAAAAAGTTTTGTGAGTTGTTGAGTTCGGGGAAAATATATAAACATAGTGAAACACTGTCTACTATAAAATTGTTAATTCATAGTTATTATAATAATAATTATTGACCCCCCTGTAAATTCGGCAAATGTAATGAGTGTTGCAGTACTGGGGCGTAAACTGCTCCGTCACTAAATAGCAGATCAGCTGCTCAGATCAGGACTTGATTTCAGTGGAACTTTCTTTTCCTGCAGCAGAAACGTTCATTAAAAGATGTATTTTTGAAAGCAGTATTATTTTTATTGTCGTGACTGTTAATTAGCACATGCCTAAAACAACCTCAAGTTTAATTTAAAAGCTGAATAAGACGCATTGTGTCATTTTGCAATTCATAATCCAAATAGTCAATTATTCGTTTCAATAATCGATAAATTAATCAACTATCAAAATAGTAGTTAGTTGCAGCCCTACAGTCAAGCATGGTGGTGGGAGTGTCCTGGTCTGGGGCTGCATGAGTGTTGCAGCACTGGGGAGCTACAGCTCATTGAGGGAACCATGGATGCCAACATGTACTGTGACATATTGAAGCAGAGCATGATCCCCTCCCTTCGCAGTCTGGGCGGCAGGGCAGTACTCCAACATGGCAACGACCCGAAACACACCTCCAAGAGGACCGCTGCCTCGCTAAAGAAGCTGAGGGTAAAAGTGATGGACTGGCCTAGCATGTCTCCAGACCTGAACCCTATTGAGCATCTGTGGGGCTCCTCAAACTGAAGGTGGAGGAGCGCAAGGTCTCTAACACCCACCAGCTCCGTGATGTCATCATGGAGGAGTGGAAGAGGACTCCAGAGGCAACCTGTGAAGCTCTGGTGAGCTCCATGCCCAAGAGGGTTAAGGCAGCGCTGGAAAATAATGGTGGCCACACAAAATATTAACACTTTGGGCCCAATTTGGACATTTTCACTTAGGGGTGTCCTCACTTTTGTTGCCAGCGGTGTGATGTGTTATTTTGAGGGGACAGCAAATTTACACTGTTTTTCTTCAGTGTTGTCACATGAAAAGATATAATCAAATTATATTAACATATTACTCAAATGTGAGGGGTGTACGTACTTTTGTGAGGTTGTATAAACACATTTCCCTCCATCTCATGAGACATCAGTAAATGTCCTGTTTATCCAGCATGTTCAATCTTTAAAGAAATCCTCTTACTGCTCTGCAGACGCTCAGCCAGCCCCTCCTGCTTCATTGTCTTCAGGAAGTGCAGTGTGAGCTTCAGAAATGTCTCTCTGCTGCTCCTTCTCTGCTCTTGATTCTCACCACCCAACACCTCCTCATCCTCACTCTGACTCTCTAAGCATTCTGGGTAATCTGAACTCAGAACATTCTTGATCTTCTTCAATTCATTATTCATAAAGGTTTTCATTTTCTCCTCCAGCAGCTGGAACAGAAAATTATATGAATGACACAATCAAACAAAAATCACAGAACCAAACATCAGATCCATGTTGGACAGACTGACACTAAAAACTGCAGCCTGGAGATTATTGTGAACAGAATAGATGGAAAATGAGTTGTTGTACATGTACAGACCATAAATATGGAGTCCAGGTGTGTTTGATGCTGCTGGACAGACTGACCAATGGGAACCTCTGAACTCTCCTGGTAAACTCTGTGGAGGAATCATGAAGAATTAGTCTCATGTCCACACAAACAAAAAGGTCCATTTAATTAAAGTATTGATTACAACATTCTATCAGATAGTTTCTCTACTGGCTTTGTGAAGGCCTTGCTGTTGCTTACAGTAACCATTTTAACTGTAAACACATCACTTTGGATAACTTTCAGATCTTTAAGATGCTTTTGTTTAAAGACAGTCAAAACGCTGTCTGCTGTATTTCATATTTACTGCCCCCCCCCTCCCCAAACCAAATAAAATCTTAATACAATCTTTTAAATTTCAATCCTCCATTGTCCTTAACAATGATATAAATATTATTGTACGACATTTTGGTATCCACATTATCCATCTAACTATAAGTCACTGAATTCCTAAACATTACTGACTTAAACCTAGTGAAGCATGTCTCTGGTTTGACTCATAACCAAAGCCATACGCTTGACCTCGTATTTACTTAAGGCCTGACTAGAAACTCGCTCTCGATGGAGGATCACAAATGTATTTATTTTTGACACCTGCACCCAGAAAATCTCTCCAACCTTAAACTTAATGTCCATTTTCCTTACATGAAAGCACTTTTTACTTTACTCAATCTCAAAATGAAAGGTTGCATGAACAGCTTACATCTCCGAATTAATTACTAATTATTGATCAGGTAAACTGAAAAAAAATATTTGTTAACCGGCCATAAAACTGCATAAGATACGATGTACACAGTAGGGTTGGGCCGATAGACGATGCCATCACAGACAGACGTCAGTGCTGGCCTGTTAATGACTTGGCCTATCAACTGATCAAATCCAACATCTGCATTCCTGAGTTCACTGTTGCTCTATCTTGTACAGTGTCTGCATCTTGTAACGAATCACCAACTTTTTTAACGAGTGAAGTCTATGTGTGGGTAACACGCCTTTTCAAGATGACCGCTACAGATACAAAATAGTTTACAATGACTGGGAGAGAGATCCGCCTATTCCGTTCCGTCAACATTATTTTATTAACTTACATTCAGAAAATACATTTTTGACTTACTTATGTTTATATTATCTTGGAATTTCTATCTACATAAACTGCAGATCGTGATGTATGTCGCCATGTTGTGCTGCCATGTTTCTACAGTAGCCCAAATGGAAAAACTGCTCTACAGAGCGCATTTCATCACTTTATTGAATACGTACGAAGTAGTAGTAGTAGAAATTTGTAAAAATGGAGGTATTATTTAGCACAAGAGCCAACAGAGCGTGTCGGCCACCGTAGCTTCTCCTGTGAGCTTGGAAAGGGAGCGGTGAGCGTTAACTGAGCAGTTGGTTACAATTTGCAACCCTCACCACTAGATGCCACTAAAACCTACACACTGAACCTTTAAGGAAGGTGGCCTTGGGGACCCTGTGTATGGGACATACGGTGGATCTCAAGTCTCTTGTTTGTCGTTTCCTCGCTCGAACTGGCAGATGTTCTGGTCCGCCATCTTGCAGACCCTCCAAAAGCTCTAATTTGTGCTCCGAGTAGCGAGTTGTGATCTCTGAGGAGGTAAGAGCGAGGATACACACACAAGTGCAACCTTCAAAGAAGTCTTTTACTGACCGACACGCCCCCTTATTGGCTCTACCTTATTGATTGGACACTGCAGCTAATGGGACTGATTTGATACATCGTGACACTGCAGTTTCATACCAGAGTGAAGACAGATGACACCCAGGTGCATCACTGCAAAGTTTTATATTTGATTTATAATTTACCATCTAGTAAAAAACTGTGTTCTGTTGTAGGTGTGAATAACTCAAGCACCACACACAACGTTCTTAATTTATTAGAAAGATTTTTCTTTTATGTTATTTTCCGTAACCTTTAATTATGGAAACATTTAACGTCAGAGAGAGTCGGAGAGTCTGTCAGTCAGCAAGAAAAACTTTTAACATCATTTATCGTCATTTCCATTCAGTCACATGTGAGGCTGGTAATTCCTATTATAAGTCCAAACAGATCAGCTCTTAACAATTTTAGACCCATATCAAATAGGGCTGAGCAATAAAACAATAATGATAATTATCGCACTAGACTTTTTTCTCAATAAAAATAACAAATGTTCAACATATCGTAAATAAATTTAATTTGATTTAATTCACTTGAATCACAAACTAATTAGCACTCAAGTTATTTTTTTTTAGTAAAAGTGACTAATCATTTTGAAATAAAGATGTTATTATAATTGCTTTGAAAGTGGTGTGAAAGTGATCCACGGTTTGGCATCAAGTGTTTGATCTGATATAGAATAATTTAACCACACAATTAACCATCTGGTTTCTTTAGTTTTCACCCAGGAGCAAAAATCAACCTTGAAACTTAAAGGAACTAATGATTTGACTCATCGATATGGAATGGTATATAATATTTTTACCGTGATAACATTTTTGGTCATATCACCCAGCCCTAAGTCATTTACTGTACTGGTCAGCTGATCAGCTCCTACAAATTGTTAAAAGGGAATAGCATTTTTGATACTAAAATGGCTTTGTTAAAAGTCACAAAATACCTTATGCAGGCTGACAGGTAAAGACTTTACCCTACTACTAGGGCTAAAATGATTAGTTGAAATAATCGACGACGTCGGTTATAAAAATTTGTTGACAAGTCGTTACAGAGATGTTGTTTAAGGCTGCAGATAGCACTACTCAGAGATAACTGACTCCGGGAATCAACTGACTACTGCACGTTACGGCTGCACCGCATTTTATTTTACGTTTATTTAACCAGGAAAGTAATCCATTGAGATTCAAAGTCCACTGGAAGCGTCTGGAGGGGGGCCAGCTTCAATTATTCACTCTAAATTAATATCGAAGCGTCGAAGCTCAAAAAATGACATTCGGGCCAGCCCTACTGTTATTTAGTAGGCTATGTAGTTAAATTATTTATTTATGTGTCTTTTTTGACGTGTTTATTGTTGTTTTACGATCGGGAATCTCCACAAGGTATTTTATTTTGAAAATTGACTGGATTCTCTCTCTCTGCTCTGTGCTGCTTGATGCGGCTAGCGGCAAAAATAGACCTGCTAGTTGTTCTCTGCGGAGTGGAGAGCCGCTTCTGGGAAGCGCCGCAGCTGGTAGCCTCACGAGCACTGACATAAATGGCCGCTACTAGCTCCGACAACCGTAGCCGTAGCCAGTGGATTTTAGGCTTGAGTTCTTCCATCAGCAGCATCAATAAGCTGTATATAAGCTGACTCTCTGTGATGGTTAATTCCAGCTGCTGTCACTGACATGTTTCTATTTCTGTCACACAACTGAAAACAAGAAAATGTTATTTGAATAAATAAAATGTATCTGGATAAATAGTAGTTAAAACATGAATGAGTAATATTGTAATGTTATTAACAGCTTACCTCTTTGCAGCAGAGCGCTGTCGTGTTCTAAAATCAATGAAGCGTTCATTTGACCAGTCACTCTTCATGGACACACAGCTGGGTTCTGGTTTTTCCGGCTTCCTCCTGTTACACATAATATGATGTATTAATGCACCCAGAACACAGTGTAACAGTGTGTTGTGAAGACATCTGACAAAACTATTTGCTGATTGTTTTGTCCGGCCATCAAGCAGAACCTGTTTCCACCACTGAAAACACATCCTTTCTTAAAGCTTGGGCAGATAATGTATTTCTGAAGTATTTTTGTTGAATTTGTTGAAATTATTTTTACATCCTCGCAGCTATCAATAAATTATATGCTGTGAAAAAAACATCTCTGGATAAATACGACCTAAAACATGAATAACTAATATTGTAATGTTATTAACAGCTGACCTCTTTGCAGCAGAGAGTTGATGCCCTTTAAAATCAATGAAGCGTTCATTGGACCAATCGCTCTTGAAGGACACACAGCTGGGTTCAGGTTCAAGGCCAGGTGCAGCAGAGTCTGGTCTCCCATAGGTCCTGTTAGAGAGGAAGACCACCAGGGATGGAAATTAATTAATATTATTTTAGTCTTCAAACTCAGAAGCTGCTGGAGAAACTAGCAGCTATCAACAACAAAAGGATCAAAATTAAATAAAACAAGAAGCTGAATGATTTCAGTCGAGTATCATCGTATCATTTTTCATAAGATATTGGAGCAAACCAAACCAGGACTAAATGTACTGATTTCTGCGCAGATCTTACTGTTATTATTGGCAAACACTCTTCTATAATGAAAAACTTAGTCAGTCAGTTGACATTACATTGACATTTCAAATCACCATTTTAGTGACCAAAATTATCACCGTTCTTAGTATTCTCTCAGTATTGTTAAAATGTACTGATACACAGTGAAACCATTTCCCCACGTTTTATATTGAAATCAAATCAACTTTGTTTGCATTACATTAAAATAACAGCCAATACCAACCATATCACATGCGCATTACCAGTAAAGATGTTAAATAATCACATATTATTGCAGTGTTTCCTGTACCATTGTTTTAGGGGGGCACATTTAACAATAAAAACTAATTAAGTAGGCTAAAACTCAAGGAATCTAGCCAAAATGTTGATGCAATTTATAAAAATCTGGATTTTCCTTGCATTAAAAGCATTTTGCCTCCAGCACTTAAGCCACACAAACAGAAAAACCCACTTATACCGTGTGTTCAGCAGCATATAGCTATCAAGTAGCCTAACGACCTGTTTAATAGAGGATAATTCAATAATTAATAATTATTTAATTCAATACATATTTTGCAACAATGCATTAATTATGACTATTAAACTGTATTACAGTATTTCAATATCCTCCTATTGCAATATATATACTGTGAATTGTCCCCATAAATAACTGCACATACATACAGAATATTTCTAATATAATAATATTGTAAAAAACAGAATTCACAAATTTATATATATATATATTTTTTTATTTTTTTTATACAGAAAACCCAAAATTTGGGCAGAATTACAACAGAAATCATAGAGCCCTATCCACGGTCTTGTTGCCCAATATCAGAATGTAGCATAACTGTAGCAAGCGGCAGGCATAACTTTAGTAGTAAAAACTAAGAAAGGGAACGGAGAAGGTGACAAACCTAAACAGGCCAAAATTTGTGCGCCAGTTTATGGTGACATCATGTATCTGTAACACTCCCCGCTCCGCAACACTAGTGTCCACCACCCCCTCTGAAAAAAATCCTAGGGGAACACTGTATTGTACAGGTAAATGCAATGACCCCATGCACAATTTAAAGACAGTGATAGTAATTGCAACGAGCCCAACAACTGGCGGAAACACAGGGGAGTCTTGCACAGGAGTTTTCAGCGTCTCTCCTCACTTTTGACGGCTGCCAGATTGTAAATGAACAAAACATGTTGGTTGAGAGAATAAACTGTGTAACCAGTTATCATGTGCCGAGGGAAAAAAATAAAAAATCTGCAGACACACGACACATCCAGCAGAACGTCAACTGTTTTTACAAGCTGTTGGTAAGTTAGAGAGACAAACCAAAGCTAAAAGTTAACTTAACCAGCATTTGCTATAAGGCAAGTTTCCCTCAGCACTCTTATAAAAAACAAAATACAATCAGACTTCAGACAGACTGAAAAATCTCCACAACGATGTCTTCTGCCATGTTGTCATTGACCAAAATAAACCCTCTATGCTGCGCCTGCTTCTGGGAGACTGTCTGCTTGACAGTATTTCAAAGCGTGGTAATCCAACACGTTATCATGATAATGACAATTTGTAGGGTAATCCCAACTGTTGGGAATTTCACCATGGTTTATCATTAAACCAGTAATCGTTTCATCCTTATCTGTCAGACACGTCTGTAAGAACGATGTTGAAAACAAACATACAGGTTTAGTAAAACATGAATCAGCTATGTTTCAATGTTATTACCAACTGACCTCATTGCAGCAGAGGGGAGTCGTCTTTTAAAATCAATGAAGCGCTCATTCGAACAACCACTATTGAAGGACACACAGGTGAGTCCAGGTTTAGGTCCAAGACAAGATCCAGGTCCAGCGAAGTCTGGTCTCCCATATCTCCTGTTAGACAGAGAGGAAGACCACCGGGGATGGAAATTCAGCGTTTAATCTTCAGACTCAGAAGCTGCTGGAGAAACTAGCAGCTATCAACATGAAAAGGATCAAAGTTCAATAAAACATGAAGCTGAATGATTTCAGTCTGAGTATCATCAGTTCACTGTTCCATAAGATATTGGACCAAACCAAACCAGGACCATTGACAGATAAACGTTGTTGAAATCCCATCAGGAACAGATCTCTTCAGGCCAGTGTTCTCAGGAGGAACAATTACAGCCACCAACAACTCTTTCAGTGGACTTATGGGCATGTCAGTGTTGTTTAGGGACAGACTGGAAAACATGTGGACCTGTCATTTAATACTAATCTGGATCTAACCTTCATCATCATTCGGACAACTGGTCAGACTGGAAAACATGTGAACCTGTCATTTAATACTGGTTCTAATCAGGACAAACATCAGCAGTGAGCAACATGAGGAGGGAGATATGAACATTTAGCTCTGACTGTTTTAATACTGAGAGCTACTTACAGTCTGTCAGATACAAGTCCTCGTTTAAAATCAATGAAGCGTTCCGTTGACAAGTCACTCTTGAAGGACACACAGCTGGGCTCAGGTCCAGCGAAGTCTGGTCTCCCATAGGTCCTGTTAGACAGAGAGGAAGACCACCAGGGATGGAAATTCAGCGTTTAATCTTCAGACTCAGAAGCTGCTGGAGAAACTAGCAGCTATCAACATGAAAAGGATCAAAGTTCAATAAAACATGAACCTGGATGATTTCAGTCTGAGTATCATCAGTTCACTGTTCCATAAGATATTGGACCAAACCAAACCAGGACCATTGACAGATAAACGTTCCCATCAGGAACAGATCTCTTCAGGCCAGTGTGCTCAGGAGGAACAATTACAGCCACCAACAACTCTTTCAGTGGACTTATGGGCATGTCAGTGTTGTTTAGGGACAGACTGGAAAACATGTGGACCTGTCATTCAATACTAATCTGGATCTAACCTTCATCATCATTCGGACAACTGGTCAGACTGGATTTAATGAGGACAAACATCAGCAGTGAGCAACATGAGGAGGGAGACATGAACATTTAGCTCTGACTGTTTTAATACTGAGAGCTACTTACCATCTGTCAGATACATGTCCTCGTTTAAAATCAATGAAGCGTTCCGTTGACAAGTCACTCTTGAAGGACACACAGCTGGGCTCAGGTCCAGCGAAGTCTGGTCTCCCATAGGTCCTGTTAGACAGAGAGGAAGACCACCAGGGATGGAAATTCAGCGTTTAATCTTCAGACTCAGAAGCTGCTGGAGAAACTAGCAGCTATCAACATGAAAAGGATCAAAGTTCAATAAAACATGAAGCTGAATGATTTCAGTCGAGTATCATCAGTTCACTGTTCCATAAGATTTTGGACCAAACCAAATAAACTAGACCAGTTAGACCAGCAGTGACCAACATGAGGAGGAAGAACATTTAGCTCTCACTGGCCAACACTGTTTTAATACTGACTGTTACTTACCGTCTGTCAGATACAAGTCCTTGTTTAAAATCAATGAAGCGTTCCGTTGACAAGTCACTCTTGAAGGACACACAGCTGGGCTCAGGTCCAGGTCCAGGTCCAGCGAAGTCTGGTCTCCCATAGGTCCTGGTCTGGCTGTCATGTTCCCCACACAGAGTGCTTTTAGAGGGAGGGACTCCCTCCTCTCTGTCCTCACACTGACTCATGCTGCTCAACTCACATCCACTTTCACCTGGAGAGGAAACACAAATCTATCATCTGCACATCAACTCAAATCCTCCTTTCCATCATTCCTCCTGGAAAAAGATCAGCTGCTCCTCCACTGATTGGCTGCTAGTTTCTGTTTCATATCAGTGGCAGCTGGATGCAGTCAGACGGCAGCGTAAAGGTGCGTTCCCACCGAAAGCGAATCCAACGTTTTTGGCAGCTTGATTACATACAAAGTCAATGCAAAGATGCAAATTCCTGCAAATTCACTCAGGGCAGCGCGAATGAGGCGTTTGTCGCCAATTCGCTGGTTCGCGCGAGTTCAAACTTTGGACAAAAGAAAGCGAGGAATGTGAACTACCTGGTGAGTTTAGAAAATGTGTTTCTGTAACTTTATTCCAGCTGTCGTTGTACTAGCATAGCATAGCTAACCGAATGATCCGAACTCCATTCAGAAAACACGCATTTTAAAAATTGTTGCCCTGCTGACCGGCGGCGCGGGGGTGCAGTGGTTAGCAAGGTTGTGGGTTCAGACCCCGGTTGCCCCGGCCTTTAAGCTGGGATAGGCTCCAGCCCCCCGCGACCCTGTACGCAGGATAAGCGGCTGACGATGGATGGATGTCCTGCTGACTTGCTGACAGACCTGACAAAGTATGAATTCCTATGTCTAACAAATAGGCGTTATATTGTTGTTATTTTGGCATCAGTTTGATCCGTTTATTGCAATTAAATCACAGCCAAGGGTTTACTTTGTGTTCATATAGCTGTAGTATCCGCAGGCTGTGTTTATTCGCTTAAAACGCGTGTGTGTGAACACTCAAAATTACCAGCGGTCAAACTCACACGAGTAAAGCGAAGGGAATATTAAATTCGCTTGCGGTGTGAACGCAGCTTGAGGCAGAGGAAGCTGCCATCAGCTGTTCTGCTATCAGTTCACTAGATGGAGTCATGAAGCTGCATTTTACAGAAAATGGATAACAGTCATTTAAGATGATTCAGAGAGACATTTATCAACAAACAATTCAACATATCAAAATAAAGTTTTCAAAAATTCATTCATATTTATTGACTGAATTGAGCGTTTCCACTTGAAACCAACAACAGATTTTAAACACAATAACCAAAATATCCGCCTCACCTTTAATTAGAACCACATTAACCACATTTGCTCTCCAGTAAACTTCAGAAAAGTTATCAGGAAATGATTAAAAAGCAGAGGAGCGTCTGAAATCTTGTCATTCAAATGCTAAAAAGTTAATCTGGACCAAATATTACAGCTGGTCCCCACTGTGTCCCCTAAATGCAGCAAGAGGGACTTCAACAATGCAAGTTCCCACGTCTATTGAATGCATCATGATGACTCCCGGTAACATACAGTCTTTATAAACACATGAACAGTGATGTGCAGCAGGCCTGCGGACCAGAGGTGATCAACAACATCCAATCAGTGGTACATCAAGTACTCACAACTGTTAATACTGCACTGACAAAATACTCTATTCAAACCTTGGATGCAAGACTGTAAATGAAATGTAGCCTAAACATTTCCTTAAAGTGAGATAATTTGCTATTTATAAAATCTTGGATAGTTTAATATTTGATAATCCTTCATATTTTACTTGTTGATCAAATATTTTGCGAGTAAATGTGCCTGATTACTTTATTCACTGGAGTCATTTACTTTTGTTTTTTTCCTTCTCTGCTCACTGAACCAGTCAGTGAAAAGTGAAGTACTTACTTTAGTTGAATATGTTCAATATGTTACTTTAAATCCATGTGCAGATATAGATTTCAGATACAAACATTTTAACAATTGATAAAATATGATGCTTGGTGATGTTGAAGTAAAAATGACTTTGAAATGTTGCTAATATTGTACTAATAGTATACTTAACATGTTTTATTTTTAATTATCTGAAAAGTAACTAAAATGTATTTAAATAAAAGTTAAAGTATCTCCCTGCAGTAGACGTAGAAGCAGAAATACTAATACTAATAAAATACAAGTAGTCAATTTCAAGGTTGTCCCATTACTTTGGGCCTAACATTAAGCAGTAGGCTGGAGGAAGCGAGGCCTCCTTTCCACTACTGCAAGTTACACAAGCAGATCAAGACAAAGGAGGGAAAGAGACAAACAGTGTCAATAAAGCCCATTCAGAATATTAACAGAAAGGAAATATCTTATTTGATTTCTGATTAAGTTTAAACCGACATATAGATGCGACACTAGTTCCTGTTATATGTTCAGTGCTCATTTAGAGACACCGTCAGGCTAACATATTGTATTTACTTAGATAATAAAAGGTTTAAGCCCCTCTGTGCCTGCAGAGTCCACATGAGTCCTGCAGGTAAATCTCCTGACAGCATTCACCGACACTAGCAGCTGTTCTCCAGCGGCTGTCCGGTGTTAGAGTCTCAGACAGCGGGAGAGCAGCGGCTCGTCTCCGCCTCCTCCACAGGCTGCTTCAGGCAGGAAAAGCTGCCTTCACTCATCAGAAAGTGGAGCTACACAGTAAATAACGACTCTGTGTTCAACTCCTGAGCATAAACTGACTCTACTTCTGCTCTTATTTCGCTGTTTACATCTCAAATATAACAACATGGCGGACATCAGTAACTTAATGGCGGCTGTTTCGCCTCCTTCGTCCAGAGTTCACAGTGAAACTCAGCTGTGAGTTTAAAGAAATGAAGCATCGAGCGGCAGATTTCTGCTGTTTCTACTGTAACTAAGATAACCACAGCTTGTATTAATGAGGAAAACATTTCAAACATGTTACATTACCTTCATCTGGAGGTTCAGACGGAGAAAAACTAACTGCGCTACGTCTTCATGGAAAGTGAAACTAAACTTTAACCAGGAAATACGCAGAGAGGCGCGTGGCTGAGTCAGAATTCACAGGCTACAGGGCGAGACATCCTCCATTAAACCCTAAAGAAGAAGCAGAAGCAGGCTACAGGGTGTTAAAGTTTGCTAATCGGAAGAAACGGATAGATTGGACTGTTATTCGGGCTGGTTGTTGGTCAGAGTCCGGAAACACAAACATGTTATAAATGGCTAATTTCTGCTGTTGCGCTGGAACCTGAATACCTGGATGGCTGGATATCAGTCCCAAAACCTCCGGGCTCCATGTAAGTAAACACAATATGTTGTAACGTTAGACTTTTAGTGAGACTCACTCTTTAATGCTGGCTCTGTATCAACATCTATGTACGCGCTGAACTTCCTCCGTCTGAAGTTTATATCAGAGAGCAACAGGAAGTCTGAAGTTTCCACAACTGTTCAGTTATTGTTACACTCTGCTCTGTTGGGAAACGGGAAGAAACTCAAAGGCTGTAAAATGTTTCTGCGCGGTGTTATTGAAGGTTACGGTGTTAAATTCTCTGGTATCAGAAAACTTTCACACAGAACCTGAAGTTACGCCGTGTTGCATTATGGGAACGCCGCCATGTTTACAGGATCGTGCTCAGTGTGTAATAAACACATAACTAAATAATTAATAATTATTTAAGGACATTTCAGCAACAGAAAGGCTGTCACATGCCTCTACAGAGGTTGAGCTGAGCCATTTGCATTATTCTGTGTTATATTGCTTTTATTTGAGTATCTAAGTGGCAACAATAGCTTAAATGTATATTTCTGTATAAGGATTTGGAGGTTTTTGATTGTGCTAATGAGTTACTGATTACTGTAAAGCCAACTGAGTGATAACGTATTATTATGCCGTCCATTCATGCTTTTTTGTTTAGCAATTTAATTACATTGTTGTGCAAATGCAAGACAGTTTTCATCAGGAAGAGTGACCGTGTTTAACATGATACAAATATAATTTCTTTAATATACATAGCCTTTTTCTTTTTGCTCATAATATAAAGCTTTAACCCACAACGCTATACCATCAAGTGTAGACACGTACAGGGTTAATGCACAGCCTCCCTGGTTAGGCATAGGCAGCATCAAGTATGGGGAAAATATAGAAGTAAATAAAACACATAGCCTAGATGCCTTTTTTTGATTTTTTTTGACGTTGAAAAAAAAAACCTATTGGTTACACAAAGTAAAAATCCAAACACCATTTTTATTTACAGAACAGACCCTAAAATCAACATTATGCATGCAAATAAATAAACAGAGGTGGCAAGAACTTGAAGTTGTCCCTGATATCTGTAATACAATAACTTAGCTTCATGTCATGGCCTATAGCCTAGTCAATTATATTCCAAATAATTAGCAGTTTTAGTGGAAGTTATAGCTCTATTAACAAATGAATGTAAAAACTCACTTAATGTAATATTTAAATGTGTAAACCCACTAATGAGTTGAGTTTGTTTAGCCTTATAGGCAAATACAAAAACCAAAAGATCCAGGTCCTACACTAACAGTGTTTCTGGTGTATTTTGGATTTTATCCATTAGACGGTGCCACAGCCTTTGTGATGTGTCATACTGTCAGAATACAAGCAAGATTTTTGATATAAAAAAGCTGCCTAACATGAAGTGCTGTAGTTACATTGCACATTTAACCTGCAGATTAAATGAACAAATGTAAAACATGATTGTATATGACATTTTTACAACATGTGCATGTTGAGCACATGAGTTTTACAGGCCTTTATCTTTTTGCCATTGGCCTTATGTTGAGTGTTCTGATCAAGTAATGTGGATGTGGGCATGGCGGTGTGTTTGGTGTGTGAGATTGATGTGATGTAGTTACAGTGATCAAATATTTGTATCATAGTTAACGTGAACTTTGGCTGAACAGTTACCGATGTCCATGAAAAGTTTTTGCATTAGCTCAAGTGGACAGTACACTTCACTCATTTGGGATAGTCTGTGTTAAGGCACTGTTGCAAAGGTATTAGCAACATATTTTAGATCGTGCTCCTCCAGTACAACAGCAACATCGTCAATCTCTTTTGCCAGCAACTCTAGCTTGCTTCAGCCTTTCTCTGCAACAAAGAAGGTGAATGGTCCCTCCTTTTGTAGCCTGTTATGATTGTCTTTCAGGTGAAATGTAAGTCCAAACAAAGCTGCTGCTCTTCTTGTTTGAAGACAAACTGCCTTTGTCAATTAGCATTTGATAAATTAAACTGTTATTTAGAACAGAATTTTATTGAACAACTACTCCCCACTGACAGTTCTGAGTGGTTTAAGAAACTGCAGTTGGCACGTGGGCCGTAGTTTGGCCACACTCTCATTTTGTGTAGCACATTCATCAGAAAGACACAGACATCCACCTTGGAAGTGATGTTAAACAGATCAGCTGAATGATGTTTAGACCTCATGAATTGTGTTAAATGTTTTATTTAACCTGATGTTTTGTTCTCCAGATCATTGAACTGGGTTCTGTGTGCAGAACATACAGAAGGACACATGGCTTGTACAACACAGTCGGCCTTAGACTACGTCAGGGGTGCCAGAGTCCACCTTGAGAGAGATTTAAATAATCTCTCAGGTTGTGGAGAACTTGAAGCAGCAAGGAGTTTTTAGTGCTATAGAGGTCAGCAAAATACAGACAGAGAGAGATGACTGTGATCAAACAGGAGAATACTGGACTCAGTCACTAAGAAGGGGGAAGCGGCGTGCTACGAGTTCCTCAGGATTATTGACGTGATGAGGAAGAGGACCTTAGGGAGGACATCCCTTCTCCCTGAGACAAAGAGTTCAGCTTCTACTGAGACCAAGAAGTTTGACCTGCATAACTGGATCAGCTGCTTTTCTTTCAAGGACGACACACAGATGGATATAAACTGCTTACAAGGTATTTTGAATTCTGATTGATAGCGTGTCACATTTTTATTATTTATCTAGCTGATGTTATATAATGCACTTTAATGTGTCTGTATAAATATGTATCTGTCATTTAGTGTGAGGGAACAGCAGTTAATTTACAGTATATTTATTTACTAATTGTTGTTTTTATTTTAGGCTCAGGGCCGTGCCTCAGATATCAGGCGAAGTTAAAGTCAAAAGCACAAAAAATATCAAATGAGTTTTGGAAGGCAAACAAAAATCTGTTTGAAAGAAACAACAAGCCTGATCTGTCGTACGCTTCACTCGTGTTAGACACACAAGAAAGTGTTTCTCCATCTAAAATAAAGAAGCTGAAGAGCAAGAAGAGCAAGATGAGTCGCCCTAAAAAGCTGAGGACATACATCCCTGAGGACAGACCAGACATTTCCCCCAGTGAGCTGCTGAAGACAGATAAAAACATCCTCTTGGTTGGTAAGCCTGGAATTGGAAAGACAGCACTCACTCACGAAATGTTGAAACTTTGGGCAGAAAGAGACAACAAGGAGCTCGACTACATGTTCTACTTTGACATGAGAGAAACATCCCACATCATGATGGCCAAGAGCCTGGAGGATCTTCTTTTCAGTGTGATCAGTGAGCCAGATGAAGGCAAAGAAGAGGTCTTACAGGACATAAAGAAGAACTCTGACAACGTTACACTCATTTTTGATGGAATCACAGATCTCTCTTCATCAGTGGTGAAGAGGGTTGTAGAGAAGGACCTACTACCTGATGCCAAGATCATCATTACATGCAGACCAGATGATGCAGAAGACCTCCTTTCTGGGGACTTCCTCAGAGTGGAAGTGAAAGGCTTTAGTGAGCAGACCATAAAAACATACTTCCCTGCAACTCTAGGAGAAGAACAGGAGAAGGTTTTGAGCAACCTGGAGTTGTTAACTCTTTGCCATGTCCCAGTGTATGCACTGATGGTGGCTGTCTGCTTTTCATCAGAGACACCAGAAGACTCTCCACAGCCATGCACTGTAACTGAAATCTACATCAATATTGTTCGTCATTGCCTTCAAACAATCAGCAAGAAAACAAAAACCAAAGATCTAAATTCATTCATCAACAACAAGAGTGAAGAAATTCTGTCTCTGGCCGAGTTTGCTTTTAAAGCCACTGAAGGAAAAACTGTGATCTTGAGAGAACTGCCTGTGAAGACAGCTGCGTCCTCTCCTTCCTGAAACCTCTTGTTATCAAAGTGGCCCCCACTGAGACAATCACCACTCATGCATTTCTCCATTACACAATGCAGGAGTTTTTTGCAGCACTGTGGCTGCTGAAGAATCCAGATAAGATCGGGGATGTTTTTCAGCAGAGCCTCACTGAGGAGAAGAAACACATGAAACATCTGATCCCTTTCATGTGTCGACTGCTGACTGACAAGAGACCTAGTTTGATGAAGCATCTGATTCCAGCTCAGGAGCTCAAGAACACGTCTGACTGGTTCTTCGAGGAACTGATAACCACATTTTTAGAGGCTGACACAGAGGACAGTGGACTTGATGTGGACATACTGTTCTTATGTCAGTGCTTGTATGAGTCCCAGTGTCCTGAAGCGAGCATCAGCTTCCTGGAGAAACTGGACTACGCTCTTGATCTCAGTGGAGAGAGTCTCGAGCCTTACCTTTGCTCTGCTGTGGCCTACGTGGTCACTCAGTCGAAGGAGAGGAAAATATGGCTGAACCTGGAGGACGTCATGGTGTCAGAGCAAGGAATGAGACGACTGTTAGGATGCCTTCAAAATGTCCAGTGGTATGTGTGAGCGTGTGTAGAAAGTGTCAAGTTACTGTTTAGGTTACCACATATCTAATTAAGTTGTAGTTTGGCTTTGTGCCTAATTAATCAAAGAGGTAACGAGGATGACTAAATAGTTGAACAGGATAAGTGCGTGTAAAAGATGGATGGAAAATGAAGTTTGGAACTTCTGCTGTAGCTTCTTTAACATAAACAGACTTTATTTTATGAAACATTACTGTTACTCTACTCTATTACTTTTTAAATGAGGAAATTGTCTCTGATTATTCTTAAATTACAGGTGTGGTCCTCTGCCACGGCAGCTGTGGGAGATTTTCCTTCTCAGTGAAGACAGATGGCAGATGAACCACATCAGCTTACTCAGCCTGGATGGAAATCAGTTGCACCTTCCAGTTGAGGGTAAAAGACGGCTGTTTGAAAGAGCAGTAAAAGTCATGCAGAAGATCACTAAACAGCTTAATATCTGCCTCCACTGGGACAGGAAAACTCCTGCCTGCCAAAGTCTGTGCGAGTCTCTCTTAGAGGCTTTGCCTATCCACTCACTCAGGTATGTAGCTTTTGTTTTTGTGTGATGCTTATTCCACATTAACTTTTATCTTTTTGTAAAACCGTTAATGTTGAAATGAAAATCCTTTTTTTCAAGCCTTATTTCATGGTCAGATCAGACCTCCAGTTTTGCATGTGATACATCATAAAAAACCTGTCCAGCACCTGGACTCTAATACTAAATATTATAAAGAGAAACTGGCAGACTGCTTACGTATCTGTTTGAACCGAAATAGTCAAAGTACATTTTCAGCTCAAGTAGACAGAAGAAACAGGAGGTTTAATCAAGCTAACGGGAATGTAGAAGCAGTGTCCAAATCATCCAAGAAGGCAGTCCAGTGCACAAACAGTAACTCCAAAAGTCCACAGACGAAAGGCACTGGTGGAAACAATCCAGAAAAATAAGACAATCAAGCTATTGGGAAAACACAAGAGCAGGAAGGGAAGTAACCAGAAAATGAGAGGAAAGGAAGATGCCACAGTAAGACAAAAAGTAAAGAACGAATGAAACCAGATGAAAACAATTACAGAGAATGAGAAACAGAAAGTAATTAACAGGAAATACAAAAACAAAAACCCCAAAACATGACACAAATAGAAGAAGTATCAATGAGTTCATGTGGCTCAGCAGAGATCAGCTGTAGCAATTGGTAAACTTCTAATGAAGTTAATAGTTAAATTGGCCTCATTGTGTATGATGAATATCAACTTTGATCTCTTGTGATGCCTCCCAGATGGGCTTCCCCTTTTTCTTTTGTGAAATAAATATTGCATTTACTCTTCATAATTAGCATCAGCACAGTGTGAACGTTGTATTTGTTTAGAACTGTGTATGCTTAGATTTCAATTAAATACAGTTTAACAGTACATGCACTGTTTGTCATGCAGCTTCAGGAGGACCTACAGAGGTTCAGGATTACAAGACCAGCAGCAAAGCCAGGGGACACTGGAGAGGGAAAAACAGGAGCTGTTACTGGATTTATGCCTGAGAGCAGCACTTTACAAAGGAGAGAGCTTTCAGAGAGTAGTGAACGAACTTCTCTCATTGTTTTCTGTGAACACTGACTTACATAACATCCTTCTTGATTTTTATCAACACGTCAAGAGTAAAGAGTGTTCAAGTGTCATTCCAAAACTGAGAGCACTTTTCCAGTCATCTCCTGCAGTCTGGTCATAAACCTCTCAGAGAGAAAGACCTCCATCCTCCTGGAAGTGCTGAAACTCCAACCAGAGAAGAAACCAGTGGAGCTGACAGGCTGCTCAGATGAAGAGAGTGAAGTGAGGAGTTTCCTACAGTGTCTGCCTTATATCTCACAGCTCAGGTAAATAAGTTGTACTTCACATGACTTCAGTGGACATTTCTGGAAACTTTTTGGAGCTAATAGATTAATAAATTTACATTTATTCATTGGTGGTGATAAATGTTTGGGTAAAGTTTTCCTTTCAGCCACTCTGTTGGTTCACGAGTGGTATTCCAGTCTAACATACACATTTCTGGAAACTGGCCAAAGTAAATTTCCTCCATGCAGCTTTGAAAAGCAACATTACAGTAACTTTTGTTCAACAGAGGAGAAATGGAAGAAGAGAGTATGTCTTTGGCTTTTTACCTGTTAACATCTTGGCTTTTCACTGGTTGTGACATAAGTGTAGTTCTAATACAAAAGATGTGAGTTTTTTAGGAGCGCAAGTTACGCACACCCTGGGGGCTGAGCCCCCTGTCTTTCAGTCCTACTGACGTCAGTGTGAACAGCCCAACCACGTTGAATCTGATCTCTTCCAGTTTGGATTTGGGCCACTTTCATATGTGGTCTAAATACGATACAGGTCTGAGTTTTTGACAAGCAGTCTCAATCTGGAATTCATGCTATCTGACGTTACTCTATAGCAGCAATTCTGCACTAGCCGGAGCTGTTGTGAACGAAAAAGCTCCAGAAAAACCATTACATCACATGTGGTTCTCTTTCTCCTTGTCCTTGTTATCATCTGCATCGCCGCAGTAAAGAACCCATGACTGATGTCAGCTTGGCTAACGTCCTCCTCTCACCCTCCTCCTCTGTGGAGTCTGGAGGGCAGTCCAGGACATAATGGTGCGTTCCATTTAACATGGGAAGTCGGAATTTCAGAGTCTGAAATTTCAAAGCCCCCTTAAGTCAGATTGCAAACTTGAAAGTCGGTAGACGGCACTACCCCAAGTTCAGTTTATTAGCACTTCTGTGTACTTGTGTCCTATAGAACTTTTTGTACACAAAGTGCCGTCCAACTGCTGTCAGTGTTTAGTGTGAGTAAATACCACACAACGCATTTTGTATCAACCGGTGTAACCATGGCAACCAGGCTAGTTGTAACCAACGGCTGGCGGAGCGAGGTTTTCCGATTTGTAACTGGAACGCCGTCAACTCGGGTGTGACGTCATTCTCAGCTCCAACCTTCAACTTCCGAGGTTAAATAGTTTTTTTGTTTTGCTTCTGTTCTCACCAGATATTTTAGTGACTTTGGAAAAACAAAATTTGTGGGCAGAAAGAGACCAGCTCCATAAGATCTCACACTGGGGAAATTCACCTGTTACAGCAGCTCCTGATAAAACAGATAAGAAAATACACATTCAATAAAAGAAAAGAAAAACACAGGATATAACAGAATGATACAAATAAGTGTAAGAGTTATGTTTACACTATATACACCTTACATATCCAGATGTGATTGATATTGAACATTGGACAGGTCACAGCAGGAGGTAGTTGCACTGTGTAGAAATACATATAGTTGCACTGGACAAAATATATACAGCAGTGTAGCTTAGTGTTAGGCTATAAAAATATGGCTATGGATACAGTGGGTACGGAAAGTATTCAGACCCCTTTAAATTTTTCACTCTTCGTTTCATTGCAGCCATTTCCAAAAATCAAAAAAGTTCATTTTATTTCTCAGTAATGTACACTCAGCACCCCATCTTGACAGAAAAAAACAGAAATGTAGAAATTTTTGCAAATTTATTAAAAAGAAAACTGAAATATCACATGGTCATAAGTATTCAGACCCTTTGCTCAGTATTTAGTAGAAGCACCCTTTTGATCTAATACAGCCATGAGTCGTTTTGGGAAAGATGCAACAAGTTTTTCACATCTGGATTTGGGTATCCTCTGCCATTCCTCCTTGCAGATCCTCTCCAGTTCTGTCAGGTTGGATGGTAAACGTTGGTGGACAGCCATTTTCAGGTCTCTCCAGAGATGCTCAATTGGGTTTAAGTCAGGGCTCTGGCTGGGCCATTCAAGAACAGCCACGGAGTTGTTGTGAAGCCACTCCTTCGTTATTTTAGCGGTGTGCTTAGGGTCATTGTCTCGTTGGAAGGTAAACCTTCGGCCCAGTCTGAGGTCCAGAGCACTCTGGAAAAGGTTTTCGTCCAGGATATCCCTGTACTTGGCCGCATTCATCTTTCCCTCGATTGCAACCGGTCGTCCTGTCCCTGCAGCTGAAAAACACCCCCACAGCATGATGCTGCCACCACCATGCTTCACTGTTGAGACTGTATTGGACAGGTGATGAGCAGTGCCTGGTTTTCTCCACACATACCGCTTAGAATTAAGGCCAAAAAGTTCTATCTTGGTCTCATCAGACCAGAGGATCTTATTTATCACCATCTTGGAGTCCTTCAGGTGTTTTTTAGCAAACTCCATGCGGGCTTTCATGTGTCTTGCACTGAGGAGAGGCTTCCGTCGGGCCACTCTGCCATAAAGCCCCGACTGGTGGATTGCTGCAGTGATGGTTGACTTACTACAACTTTCTCCCATCTCCCGACTGCATCTCTGGAGCTCAGCCACAGTGACCTTTGGGTTCTTCTTTACCTCTCTCACCAAGGCTCTTCTCCCCCGATAGCTCAGTTTGGCCGGACGGCCAGCTCTAGGAAGGGTTCTGGTCGTCCCAAACGTCTTCCATTTGAGGATTATGGAGGCCACTGTGCTCTTAGGAACCTTAAGTGCAGCAGAAATTGTTTTGTAACCTTGGCCAGATCTGTGCCTTGCCACAATTCTGTCTCTGAGCTCTTCAGGCAGTTCCTTTGACCTCATGATTCTCATTTGCTCTGACATGCACTGTGAGCTGTAAGGTCTTATATAGACAGGGTGTGGCTTTCCTAATCAAGTCCAATCAGTATAATCAAACACAGCTGGACTCAAATGAAGGTGTAGAACCATCTCAAGGATGATCAGAAGAAATAGACAGCACCTGAGTTAAATATGAGTGTCACGGCAAAGGGTCTGAATACTTATGACCATGTGATATTTCAGTTTTCTTTTTTAATAAATTTGCAAAAATTTCTACATTTCTGTTTTTTTCTGTCAAGATGGGGTGCTGAGTGTACATTACTGAGAAATAAAATGAACTTTTTTGATTTTTGGAAAATGGCTGCAATGAAACAAAGAGTGAAAAATTTAAAGGGGTCTGAATACTTTCCGTACCCACTGTATACTGTACAGGTAATATAGCAGTGTGTATAATATGTAGCATACCTACTTTACTATTTCATAAAAATTATGAATATTAATTATTCAGTAATATTGATTCATAAATCCTCAAGGCACCACCGGAAATTCAGTTCGCCCAGGGTCTCCGGACTCCCTGGGTAACGTTATGGGTTTAATAATTACACAATTATTCCTAGTGATCAGTTAGTAATTGCTTAATCATTTCTATAAAATCAGTCAGTCAATCTCATGTCGAAGGCGTAAATCCTCCGTTACAGTCACCTGGAGTTAAACAATACACACACACAGTTACTGTGATTTGGGTGAAATTTATTAGAACTAACTACGTGAATAAATGAGGTTAAATATACATCAAAGAAATAAACACTGGCTAAACAGAACAAAGTGCAGACAATGGGAATGGTGAAGGTCAATGTGAATTTAGTTATTGTGGAGAAGGATTTTAAGAGAGAAAGAGAACCAATAAACGCAAGTTATATGATAATAACTGAGTTAAATTTGGCTAGGAGTTTAGGCTGAAATGATTAAGGATTAAAGCTAATAGATTAAAAGACTATTGGACATTAACTCAACCACAGAATGCAGCGTGTTATATCCTTACTGCTTGTTGGTTTCTCAGCCGGATGGTGTTTGGGCGGCCCCACACTGTCGGAGTTTCGCGCGTTCTCGGTTGAGACGGCTTAACACGCCGTCTGCCGGTCGCTTTCTCTGCCAGGGAATTGCTCCGGAGGTCCGCCAGTTTGGCTGGTAACTTGGTTGAAGAAACTTGCAGTGATGGCTGTTAACCTTGGCTCGGTTCGTGGGTTTTGATGTCCTTTGAGCTGCTGGCATAACTAACCCACGTGGCTGGGCCCGAACTTTGGGGAAGCAGTAAAAGTTAACTTGACCGAATAAAGCTTAAAAGAAACTTGGTGATTCTTGAATTCAGAGTTGCACGAGTGAAACAGTCTGATAACTTTACAAACAAACAAAAGAAAAGAATAACTTCCACGAAGGTTCTCCAGACCTCGCTAAGTAAGTTACTCTGAGACATGGAAAACTTGAAAGTCGCGGCGCTCGCCAGGCTGGACTTAGGGCGTTGCTGGAAGACGGGGGACGCTCCGTAAACGTGCAGGGCGAAAACCAAGAGCGAAGAGAAGAGTTTTGTTTTCTGTGTCCCAGGAGGCTTTAGTTAAGGTCTCCTGAGAGATTTGTGTGTATTTCAATCAAATTCCTTCCCACAATCAAACCTTAAATGTCATAAACGGTTATACTGTTCTTAGTTTTAAGCGTTTATAAAAGGGAAACTATTAAGTAATCATTGTAACGATTAGAATGGTTACCAGTTAAACACATTTTCAGGATTTCAGAATGAAAGAAGCTCAACATTTCCTGGATAATATTGGCTGTTACACATTCTAACTTAGAGAATATAAGCAAGTTACACCAACATGGCATCAGATTATACAAAATAAAAGACAGACTGATACATTAAACCTCGGGAGACGCATTACATGTAATAGTACTTTTGTCCTCTGGGGGTAGCTCTGGTGCCATGAGAGGAGACTGAGATGACTGATTATTTCTCTAAAACAATCATTTGGTCAGGAAATTAATTATTTAACACATGATAATATTTCTATTACATGTTCTTTAACAAGAAAATATATAAAAAGGTGTTGAAGCATGGCATTAGTATAACATAAATTAAAGGATCAGTGAGTATTGAGAAAGATTAGAACACTGCAAATTAACTTTCTTTATGGATTCTTCTTTTGAACAACAACTGCATGGTAATATAACTACTCAAATGGAGAGACCTGCTAAGTAACTCAACAAAGATTATTTAATTAAACCGTAATTAGTTTGTGTAGGTTTTATGGCTGGAACTACCCAAGCAGCACTTGGGAGTGGAGCATACCTTTCACCCCCTCCTTTGGGGTACTTCAGCTGTCTCTTGAGGGTTGATATCTCAACCTACTTTGGAATCTCCAAATTGTTCGATATAAAATAATCAAACCCACACTGGCTGGTACACTACAAATAAATAATATTGCTATAAAGTGTTGGCTGATGTGCCAGAGACACAAACATTTAATCATTGCTGTGTTGGAGAGTGTGACAGCTGCTGGGATGAAGGAGCTGCTCCTTCTTTAATGTGTTGCAGCAGTCTGATGCTGAAGGAGCTGCTCAGAGACCTCACAGTCTCCTGCAGGGGCTGAGAGGTGTCGTCTGACTAACATGCTTCTCTCACCCTGCTCCTCTGTGGTGTCTGGAGGCCAGAACAGGACAGAACTAGTCCTCTGAACCAGTTTATTGAGTCTTTTTCTGTCCCTCTCTGTGCTTCTGGCTCTCCAACAGAAACTACTGCATAAAAACTGCAGATACCACCACAGAGTCATAGAAAGATTAGGCAACAAAACTACTAGATTAGGTTTAGTAAAGGATCATGGTCTGGGTGAAAACAACTACGTTACTCCAGTTATTTTAAAAGAATAAAGGTTTAGGTGTCTAATCCATCTATCCACCCCAAGCTTACCTAAACGTTTCTGTTAATTATCCTACACCTACTTTCATCAACAATGATGCTGAAAGGCTTCCAATTGCTTTATAACACACCAAGGGATCTTGACCATGTGTCCATATGTGTAGGACTTCAGAGTGAGAACAGGTTGAGCCTGACATTCCTGCTTCCTTCAACATTTTGTAAATTTAATTTAGTTAAAGTTTTCTAAAATCCACATATTTCCCTGTTAAAATCATTGTTACTTGAGTTTTAGGTTGATTGATTTTACTGTATTCTGCTCATCAGCAGGTATTTGTAGGATTTTAGCAGATAAACTCCATATCAGTAATGCACGGCTCTTTTTCTGCTGTTGACATCAGATCATAACAAAATGTTCAATTCCGTTCCAGTTCTCTCAGCTGTTTAGAGGCTCAGGAGAAGTCAAGTTCTTTGGGAATCTGTTCTGTGCAGCAGCAGAGAGAGAACAGCAGACAGGAGAGAAGATACTGGAGCTGTTATCATCAGTGTGCAGATATCAAACATTCCCTCTTAAAGAGAAATGGTGTGATTTCCTGCTGGACCTGTACTCTCATGATCCTAAAACGGGCTTGAGAGTCCTTCCATCATTACAGTCAGTTTTCCAGTCAGCTCCTGCAGTCTGGTCCATAAACCTCTCAGAGAGAAAGACCTCCATCCTCCTGGAAGTGCTGAAACTCCAACCAGAGAAGAAACCAGTGGAGCTGACAGGCTGCTCAGATGAAGAGAGTGAAGTGAGGAGTTTCCTACAGTGTCTGCCTTATATCTCACAGCTCAGGTAAATGAATTGTACTTACATGACTTCAGTGGACATTTCTGGAAACTCCCTGTTAGTTTGAAGGTAAAGTGTTCAGGTGATCAGTCCACATAAACGTTATATCACTCTGTTTAGTTTTATAGAAGACATTTTGATCTATTTCATCATCGTCATCACGCAATCTGTTCCTTTAATCTTCTCACATATGTCATGCTCTTGGGTTTTTGTGTGGTATTTTTCTGTTATTTTGATTATGTCCATTCCTGTTTTACTCTTTGCCTCTGTGTTTTTGTTTAGGTTTGGTGGTCACTGCCTCCTTGTTCTCTGTTGTATTTGGTTTCACATATCCTTGTGTATTGTCGCTAGCTTTACTTCCTGTTTATTTTGTAGTGTCTCACCTGTGTTAATTGCCCTGCCTGCTTGTGTGTATATATTGCCCTCAGTTCTGTGGGCTTTGTAGATCGTTGGCAGACTTTCTGGGGAAGACCTGGTCTGATTCGGAGAGATTGCATCCATCCCACTTGGGAAGGAGCAGCTCTCATTTCTAGAAATCTGGCCAAGTTTATTAGTGGACCAAATCCATGACAACCCAGAGTTGAGACCAGGAGGCAGAGTCGCAGTCTAACACACTTCTCTGCTCCTCCATTTCAGGAGTTACTTAGTGAAAATCCTATAGTGACGGTGTCTGCCCCCGACCATCGAAATTATTTAAATCAAAGGTAAACAGAAGAGGAGCTGTGCATAAAAACCTCATAAAAATTAAAACCACAAGAGCAATAGTGCAAACAAATAGGAGAGTTAAATGTGGACTCTTAAACATCAGATCTCTCTCTTCTAAAGGTGTACTAGTAAATGAACTAATATCAGATTGATATTGATTTATTTGGTCTTACTGAAACCTGGCTGGGCGATGGAGAATATGTTAGCCTAAATGAATCCACCCCTCCCAGTCATATTAATACTCACATTCCTCGAGGCACAGGCCGAGGAGGTGGAGTTGCAGCTATCTTCGACTCTAGCCTACTAATCAGCTCTAAACCTAAACTAAACTATAACTCATTTGAAAGTCTTGTTCTTAGTCTTTCGCACCCAAGTTGGAAATCACTGCAACCAATTCTTCTCATTATAGTGTACCGAGCACCTGGTCCGTACTCTGAATTATCTGAATTTGCAGAGTTTTTGTCAACTTTAGTCCTTAAAACGGACAAAGTTATTATTGTAGGGGATTTTAATATTCATGTGGATGTTGAGAATGACAGCTTCAGTACTGCGTTTATCTCTTTGTTAGATTCCATCGGCTTCTCTCAGAGTGTTCATGAACCGACTCACTGTTTTAACCACACCCTCGACCTTGTTTTGGTATATGGTATTGAAATTGAACATTTAGTGGTGTTCCCACAGAATCCCTCTTTGTCCGACCACTGTTTGATAACTTTTGAGTTTGTATTGCTGAACTACACGCCATTGGGCAAAAATTTCTATACAAGATGTCTGTCTGATAGTGCTGTAGCTAAATTTAAGGATGTGATTCCATCAGCTCTAAATTCATTATCTAGTCACAAAGTAACGGAGGACTCCTATGCTAATTTCAGTCCCTCCCAAATTGATCATCTTGTTGATAGTGCTGCAGGCTCGCTGCGAATGACACTCGACTCTGTAGCCCCTCTAAAAAAGAAAATACTAAAACAAAGACGGTTAGCTCCATGGTATAATACTTAGCATTTTGATTTTACGATTCCTGGACGAAATCACCTGCCTGTGATCAAAGATAGTGAGAGCAGCTGATGTTGGGGAGTACAGACAAATGTGTGCTATATCATTATTGAAGCAGTCAAAAACAACCTCTTTGCAACCAAAAGCTTTGGCTGTTTTGGCCAGTGGTGGAAAAAGGATTCAGATCCTGTTTTGAGTAAAGGTGCTTTCAGACCAAAAGCGAAGCGAGCGTTAGGGGCGGTGAGTTTACATACAAAGTCAATGTAAAGACGCGGAGAGACGCGATTTCCTGTCGGGCGGGCGAAGCGACGCGAAGGGTGCGGGGCAGAGCGGGGGATTGAAAATCTGCAGGCCGGCTGACAGCTGCTGAACTTGGGCTAGAGGAGCAGGGAACAGCGCTGCAACCTTCGGAGAAATAAACACCCGTAGTCGGTCGGATTCGGCTCTGACAACTATGCCGTTTACTCGCGGGAGGAGCTCCGAGTTAACGGTTTTTATTAAATTAGCTTTTTGCCTTAGTTTTTGGGATTTCAACGTTGATTTATCTTCACCTGAGCTTCTCAGCAGCTAGATTCCGTGCACATCCAGGTTCCAGTGTTGTTGTTAGCGTCGTTAGCTCTGTCGGACTACGACTTCATATTTATATAAAACCGGACAAAGCTGGACATTACTTGGAGAAAAGAAAGCAAGGAGGTTGAACTACCTGGTGAGTTCAGGAAACATGTGTCTGTAACTTTATTCCAGCTATCATTGTACTTTACTGTGACCAAGTTAACATAGCATAGCCCTGATCGATCCAAACTCTGTCTGTAATATGTACTTAAGTAGGGCCTACAGTCAGTAAATGTACTTTATCACTGTCCTCCACTGGGCTTGGCTTTGGCTACCTAAAACTAAGGACAGGACTTGAGATATGTTTCTGTATTTTGGCTCTGGACCAAAAGGGGGAATTTGGTGGGGCCGGGGGGCCGCTGCTGCACGTGTTTGAGTACTTCCTCCTCTAACAGATGTAATCTTACTCCAAACTTTTGATAAAACTTGAGAGCCCTGCAACAGACTACTGCATAGAAGACTGCAGATGCCACCAGAGTCATAGAAAGATTAGGCAGCAAAACTACTTGGTGAGGTTTAGACATAAATTATGGTTTGGTTTAGGGCTGAACGATTAATTGCATTTGCGATATTATCGCGATGTAATAAAACGAGATTTTCTAATCGCAAAGCAGTCTGACGAAGTTGATGTCTGGTCCGGTGTTGTCGGAGAATTTCTAAGCTTGTCTATTAAACACGACAGTCGTCACTCTGTTTTATTTTGAACCTCAAACTGATTATTTTTGTTTGCTCACTGGGACACAGAAAGATGGACTCCTAGGAGATTTGAACTGGGATAAGGACTTATTAATTGCTGGTTGAAATGTGGGTTTTGTACTGAGCATTTACTGTATAACACACTGTGGTCTGTAGGTAGGGCGACCTGATGATATATCATATTAGTTAATACCATGACTTGACTCAAATTATCTTTCTTAGATTATAATTTGATATATCTTCTCCTACATTGCTCATAATAATAATTCTACCTAATTTCATCATAACACAGGCCTGACCCACAAGAAACAGTGTAGTTCTATCTAATATTGTGTTGGTGATACTATACACTGATTTACTGCTTGTCCATTTTAAATAATACAGAAGGTAAAGAGCTTAAAAATTAATCGCATATTAAATTGCACTCGCAATATTGGTTTTAAAAAATTGCGATTTAGATTAAATTCCAAAATCGTTCAGCCCTAGTTTGGTTTTAAAACATCTACGTTACTTATGCAAGTTATTTAAAAAACTAAAAACAGTATCTCACAAGTGAGTACACCCATAACATTTTTGTAAATATTTGCTTATATCCTTTCAAGTGACATTTTTACTGAGGGGTGTCCTCACTTTTGTTGCCAGCGGTTTAGACATTAATGCCTGTGTGATGTGTTATTTTGAGGGGACAGCAAATTTACACTGTTACACAAGCTGTACACTCACTACTTTAGTAGTAAGTGTGATTTCTTCAGTGTTGTCACATGAAAAGATATAATCAAACGTTTACAAAAATGTGTGAGGGGTGTGAGCTACTGTATGTAGAGTTTTTGTTTTACATGAGAAACAAACATCAGTCTTCATCAGATTTCCTTTCAGCCACCCTGTTGGTTCAGGACTGGTATTCCAGTATAACATACAATCTTTAATACAGAGGAGAGGATACACCTTTGTAGCCTGACTTTCCTGCTTCATTCAACATATTGTCAAGATTTTAATTTAGTTAAACTCTTCTAAAATCCACATATATCCCTGTTAAAATCATTGTTACTTGAGTTTCAGGTTGATTGATTTTACTGTATTCTGCTCATCAGCAGGTATTTGTAGGCTTTTAGCAGATAAACTCCATATCAGTAATGCATGGCTCTTTTTCTGCTGTTGACATCATATCATAACAAAATGTTCAATTCTCGTTCCAGATTCTCTTGGCGGTTTAGAGGCTCAGGTGAAGTCAAGTTCTTTGGGAATCTGTTCTGTGCAGCAGCAGAGAGAGAACAGCAGACAGGAGAGAAGATACTGGAGCTGTTATCATCAGTGTGCAGATATCAATCATTCCCTCTTAATGAAGAATACTTGGATGAAGATGATGATTTCAAGGATTGTCAGAGTGGTTTCCTGCTGGATCTGTACTCCCACCTGAAGGACTGTGAGATTAAAACAGGCTTGAGGGTCCTTCCGTCATTACAGTCAGTTTTCCAGTCAGCTCCTGCAGTCTGGTTCATAGACCTCTCAGAGAGAAAGATCTCCATCCTCCTGGAAGTGCTGAAACTCCAACCAGAGAAGAAACCAGTGGAGCTGACAGGCTGCTCAGATGAAGAGAGTGAAGTGTGGAGTTTCCTACAGTTTCTGCCTTATATCTCACAGCTCAGGTAAATGAATTGTACTTCACATGACTTCAGTGCAGCCTTTCCCGGAGTTACATGAGTGAACTCACTGGATTGTGTTGGGTGTTTAATTTGTATGTAGCTTATAAACTTGTTGGTATTGAACGCAGTTCTTTTAATGCGAGTAAACACAACCTGCAAGGATTCACCTTAAATCTGGCTTACTACAGCAGCATGAACCCAAAGTAAACATTTTACTGTGGTTAAATTGTAATAAACGGATCAAAATGATGCTGACATAACTTCATCATGATGCTGATTTGCTAAACATATGACTTCATGCTTAGTCAGGTCCGTCAGCAAGATGATAAGCAAACAACTTTTAAAATGCTTGTTCTCTAAATGGCGTTTGGATCGATCAGGGCTATGCTAACTGGTATTGTAGCAAAGTAGAACAACAGCTGGAATCAAGTAACAGAAACACATTTTCAGATCTTACCAGGTAGTTCACCTTCCTCGCTTACTTTCTCCAAGTAATCTCCTGTTTTGTCCGGTTTCTATAAAAATATTAACAAGTATCACAGAGCAACTCGATGGCTCGCTGCAGCAGATGAGTGAAGATAAATCCACTTTTTATCCCAAATATTTAAATTAATAAGTTCATTTAATAAACTAAAAGAAGTCTGAGCTCCTTCTGCGGGTAAATGTCTCCTTTATAGACCTGAATCCAGTGCAACTGCATGTGTTTAACTGTCCAGAAACTCCAACGCTGCTCCCGGCTCTCTCCTTCAGATCTCCCTGTCACTCAGCAGCTGGGCGAGCAGAAGCTTTGTCCCTCAACTCTGCCTGAAACACGGCGATACACGAGAATGTTTCACTCAAATTAACTATGTTTTCAATATTGTACTACAGCCATAGGTGTCGCTAGACCCTTTTCACTGGGGCACGTGCCCCTGTATCCTTGTGCTGTATCCATGTGTTTTTGGACGTGTAGGGCTCCGCGGTCAAGTTAGCAACGATTTGCAACATCTGCAACGTCTGGTCAAGTTAGCAATAACATACATGCAACGTCGGGTTACACATTCAAAATAAAACTATTGGTTAATGTGAAAGGCACTTTGTTAATGATATGAAATGTAGCAAAAAACGAGTCAATGTTGAAAGCTGGTGATTATAACGGTGATGAGAGGATAGACAGGGGCTATCCTTTTGAGCACAAGAAGAGAAAATAACTCAATGACAGTGACTTTCGGGAACAGCAGTCAGGTAAACTTGTGTTCTCTTTTCTGAAAGTCTGATGTGAGCAGGTTCATGTGCAGCTGCAGGGAATCTCTCTAGTCCGTCTGTCCTGCTACCCAGCAGGGCAGCTCTGTCTGTGTCTTGGTAGCTTGCCAGACTGAACAATATTAGAGTGAAATACAACTGTTTATTACCTTTGATATATGAGACAGGCAACAATTTTTATGAACTGCAGCATGGAAATGATAACTACGTTGTGCGTGAACATGCGCTCATACGTGCGTGCATGAAAAGCGGTGAACGGTGCTACAGTCCACAGCTGGACCTTATTACATTCCAGCAGCGACATTAGTGGGACCAGGCCAGACAGAACACAGCTGTGATGGCACTCCTCACATCGTTTTAAAACGTGACAGTGATGATCTGTCTCTCAGTGAAGGTTTAGTTACAACTCTGGACTAACGCCTGATGGAAAGCAGTGGATTCACATTGACTATTAAATGTTGATTAGTGGAGCAGACTGGACAACATGGATGCACATCTCTCAGTAAATAATAAACATCAAATATTCAGTCAAGTCATGGTATAAATTAGAGCTGGACAATAAAATAACAATAATTATCACAGTGCGGTCCTTTCATCACTTCCCAGGAAACTCCACAAACGTAACCTATTGGCCTCAGGTGAAGATGCCAACGATGGTCGCTCAGTCATGGCCTCGGGTAGTCCTAACGACCATAACCGCTGTCGTTACGCCAGCCAGGACCACTAACGAACCAGCGGTACGATCCTGGCAAACGACCCCACTGAGGTTAAATAGCTGAGTTTCCCTGCCAGTCAGTCAGAACTGAAGAAGTCCTTTGGATGAGGGACGAAACGTCTTCCAGTATCTTCAACCAAGTCCAGTTGCCCTTGATTTTAACCTTCGTTGGATAACTATGACCTGGATGACTGAGAATCTTCACAGACATGCATATTTGTTGGAAAAAGAGTTTAACATTATTGTTTTGGATGTTCTACCTCAGATTTGTGAAGTGATCCACTGTTTGGCAAGTGATTTTCATATTCTGACCATAAAAGTGAAGAATAGTTTAAACCACAATTAACTATCTGATTACAGTTACATTGCATTTACTCATTTAGCTGACACTTTTATCCAAAGTGACTTACAATTGCTATATACAGTCCCCTCCAAAAGTATTGGAGCGGTAAGTCAGATTCCTTTTGTTTTTGTGTTTGGCTGAAGATTTAAGATCAAAAGGTGAGTATGAGACAAGTTCAGAATTTCAGCTCTCATTTCCTGGTATTCACGTCTAGATGTGTTTAACAACTCAGGACATATCAGCCTTTGTTTGAACCCACCCATTTTTCAAGTGAGCAAAAGTAATGGAACAAATAATCTTAAAGTAAATAACATTTAACATTTGGTGGCAGAACCCTTGCTTGCAATAACTGCCTCAAGCCTGCGACCCATTGACATCACCAAACTGTTGCATTCTTCATTTGTGATGCTATTCCAGGCTTTTACCGCAGCTTCTTTCACTTCCTGTTTGTTTCGGGGTGTTTCTCCCTTCAGTCTCCTCTTAAGGAGGTGAAATGCAGCTCTATTGGGTTAAGGTCAGCTGATTGACTTGGTCAGTCTAAAACCTTCCACTTTTCCCTCTGATGAAGTCCTTTGTTTTGTTGGCAGTGTGCTTTGGCTCATTGTCCTGCTGCATGATAAACTTCCTCCCCATTAGTTTCAATGCATTTCTCTGTAAATTGGCAGACAAAATGTTTCTGTCCTCTTAATTCATTCTGCTGCTGCCTTCATCAGTTCCATCATCAATGACATGACCTCCACCTTGCTTCACAGATGAGCTTGTGTGCTTTGGATCATAAGCAGTTCCTTTCTTTCTCCACACTTTGGCCTTTCCATCACTTTGCTAGAGATTAATCTTGGTCTCATCAGTCCATAAGATTGTGTTCCAGAACTTCTTAGCAAATTTCAATCTGGCCTTCCGATTCTTCCTGCTGATGAGTGGTTTGCATCTTGTGGTGTGGCCTCTATGTTTCTGCTCTCTAAGTCTTCTTCCAACAGTGGATTGTGATACCTTCACCCTGCACTGTGGAGGTCGTTGATGATGTCACTTACTGATGTTTTCCTTGGCCGACCTGTTGGACGTCTGTTGCTCAGTACACCAGTAGTTTCTTTCTTTTTCAGGACATTCCAAATTATTGTGCTTGCTATGCCCAATGTCTGTCCAATGGCTCTGGTCTATTCTCTTTTTGTTTCACCGTTTCAATACTTTTGGAGGGGACTGTATGTCGGGGGTTGGACGCCTCTGGAACAACAAGTGTCTCACTCAGGGACACTTGTTGGATGTCACAGAGGGAAGTGACCCTGGGTTTCTCACACCAAAGGCATGTGTTCTATCCACTGCACCATCTCCACCCCTTCAGCTTTCACTAAGGAGCAAAAGTCAGCCTTTAAACTTGATAGGAACCTAATTTGACATTTAACCTGATTAATTATTATCCAATCATATGATTTTTTTTTTTTTTTATCGCTTTAATAATTTTGTCTATCGCCTAGCCTTAGTATAAATAATATTTTAGCTTTGAAAATGTTAAAGGAAATCCGCGCAGCCAGTTTGAATGGGCCTGAAGCAGCTGATAATATTAAAATATTAGGCAAGTATTGATATCTATTATTTTCAGGGGCTATACTGAAGTTTGGCAGTAGGGTAGATTCTGGATCATAAGCCCGTACGAGCACAGTTGATCCAGATCCAGCACAGACCCAGTCCAGACGTCTTTAGCAGGTCACACAGACCCAGGTGAAACACAGGCAGCCTCAGCCAGTATGAGCACAGCCAGAGATGTACAGCCAGCATCAGACTTCTAGAAGAACTTTCCATTAATGCTTATAACAGACAGACAGTTTCATAGAGTTTTACAGAATGATGGATGTTAAAACTTGTGGTCCAGTATTTCAGCTTTGGAGCTGATTGATTAATAAATGTTTTGGGTAAAGTTTTCCTTTCAGCCACCCTGTTGGTTCAGGACTGGTATTCCAGTATAACATACAATCTTTAATACAGAGGAGAGGATACACCTTTGTAGCCTGACTTTCCTGCTTCATTCAACATATTGTCAAGATTTTAATTTAGTAACAGTCTTCTAAAATCCACATATATCCCTGTTAAAATCATTGTTACTTGAGTTTTAGGTTGATTGATTTTACTGTATTCTGCTCATCAGCAGGTATTTGTAGGCTTTTAGCAGATAAACTCCATATCAGTAATGCATGGCTCTTTTTCTGCTGTTGACATCAGATCATAACAAAATTTTCAATTCTCGTTCCAGATTCTCTTGGCGGTTTAGAGGTTCAGGTGAAGTCAAGTTCTTTGGGAATCTGTTCTGTGCAGCAGCAGAGAGAGAACAGCAGACAGGAGAGAAGATACTGGAGCTGTTATCATCAGTGTGCAGATATCAGTCATTCCCTCTTAAAGAGAGACACATGGATGATGAATATTATCAGAGTGGTTTCCTGCTGGATCTGTGCTCCCACCTGAAGGACTATGAGACTAAAACAGGCTTGAGGGTCCTTCCATCATTACAGTCAGTTTTCCAGTCAGCTCCTGCAGTCTGGTCCATAAACCTCTCAGAGAGAAAGACCTCCATCCTCCTGGAAGTGCTGAAACTCCAACCAGAGAAGAAACCAGTGGAGCTGACAGGCTGCTCAGATGAAGAGAGTGAAGTGAGGAGTTTCCTACAGTGTCTGCCTTATATCTCACAGCTCAGGTAAATGAATTGTACTTCACATGACTTCAGTGGACATTTCTGGAAACTTTTTGGAGCTAATAGATTAATAAATTTACATTTATTCATTGGTGGTGATAAATGTTTGGGTAAAGTTTTCCTTTCAGCCACCCTGTTGGTTCACGAGTGGTATTCCAGTCTAACATACACATTTCTGGAAACTGGCCAAAGTAAATTTCCTCCATGCAGCTTTGAAAAGCAACATTACAGTAACTTTTGTTCAACAGAGGAGAAATGGAAGAAGAGAGTATGTCTTTGGCTTTTTACTTGTTAACATCTTGGCTTCTTCACTGGTTGTTGACATAAGTGTAGTTCTAATACAAAAGATGTGAGTTTTTTGGGAGCGCAAGTTACGCACCCCCTGGGGGCTGAGCCCCCTGTCTTTCAGTCCTACTGACGTCAGTGTGAACAGCCCAAGCCACGTTGAATCTGATCTCTTCCAGTTTGGATTTGGGCCACTTTCATATGTGGTCTAAATACGATACAGGTCTGATTTTTGACAAAAAGTCTCAATCTGGAATTCATGCTACTCTGACGTTACTCTATAGCAGCAATTCTGCACTAGCCGGAGCTGTGGTGAACGAAAAGCTCCAGAAAAAACATTACTTAACATGTGTTTCTCTTTCTCCTTGACCTTGTTATCATCTGCATCGCCGCAGTAAAGAACCCCGTACAGAACAGAGCAGGCATGAAAATTACAGGTTTAGTCAGATAATAGATGGGCACTGAAGCATGGTGTTAAACAGGCCTGGAGGTGAAGACCGTACTGTTTATTATCAGGATGCAGCCTCTGCTGCTCTGTGTCGCCTCGCGCACACAAACACACACATGCGGGCTCACGCGCAACAAGCAAAATGAAAGCGGTCTGTAGTCTAACTGTTAAGCTTAGATTGCCCTGTATCCTCAATCTGCACATTGTCGCCTGCACTGAATCACGCAGACACAGAGGGAAGGAGGACAGGTGCTAGCTGCCTGATCTGCGTGGCTTCGTTGCCTGCCTGAACTAACCTGTGCTTGATTTGTGAACGTTGGTCAGAAATCAGGAGAAATGCGACCCAGTGAAGAAATTGTGAGAGGGCAATGACATACAGGAGTCTCCTGTGTAACTTGTGAGGGTTAGCAAGTAAGAGCTAACTGGAGCTAACCTTAGTGGCCTCCTTAGTTTGGGCCACATTTAAATAATAATGTGACTGTCAATTTAAAAAAATCTGATCTCTGCACTAAATTGGAATAGAGCATTACGGCCTGAAGTGTGAACGTAGCCTTAGATAATACTCGAGAGCCTCAAGACTTCTGTCATGGAATATATTAGTGTAGAGGCTTTCCAAATCTAATGTGACCAGAATTACATCATTAGGTAACTCTTTTAATGTTGATATATTGTTGATTAAATCAGTAGAGTCCTTAACATATGATGGAAGCCAACATATGGTTTCAGAAAATGATCAACACAGTGAGATAATGGCTCTGACAGAGACTCATCGCTGGCTGCAATAGCTCAGCCTTTGGGTTTAACCAAGCAAGTGGAGCAAACTGTTGCAGGCAGCATGATAGAACTGCTAAGCTGTGGCCTATCAGAAGGACTCGCTGCCTCCTGGAACTGCTCATAATTGGCTGCTTCAACTCACTTTGATTAAATTCTCAGAATTACACTACTTGTCAATATCATGATATTTAATTTCATTTACAAAAATGGTCAATATCATGATATTTCATTTAATTTACAAAAAATGGTCAATATCAGGATATGAGATTTTAGTCATTTCTCCCAGCCTTAGCTATGGATATACAGTCCAGGTAATAAGATAAGAAGTGACTGTTATAAGTGTTGGCTGATGTTACAGAGACAACAAACATTATGTTCAACGGCGCAAACATCTTTTAGTGAAATTTGCAGTTTTGGATCTGAAACAGGCCATTTATGTGATTCCTGATGCAGAAATGGTTTTAACTATTGTTTAACATTAAAAATTTGTGACCAATGTAGAGCATTTTTCTTGCACACGGATTTAATGAATGAAAACAACCCATAGAATGAAACTGTTATAACTAGAATTAATATTAGACTAGTGGTAAGCTGTAAAATACAATATGATTTGAAATGATTATCATTATAGTAACATTTTATAATTAACTTATTAACATTATTAGTGCTGGGCAACGATTAAAATAATAACACGTTAATGTGCCCAGCCCTAAACATTATACTAACAGTATACTATTAAATGAACTCTATTCTGTTCATTTAATGTTAAAATATTATACTAATACACTCATTTATACTAGTTCCTCCTCCAGGTTGTGGATTGTGTCTCTGCAGTGGACAGATGTAGATTTAACCATAGTGCCAGTATTTGCACCTTCTACCCGCCTCCTTTTGTTCGGTTTTACCTCACCGTCTCCTGCAGGGGCTGAGAGGTGTCGTCCATGACTGATGTCAGCTTGGCTAACGTCCTCCTCTCACCCTCCTCCTCTGTGGAGTCTGGAGGGCAGTCCAGGACATAATGGTGCGTTCCATTTAACATGGGAAGTCGGAATTTCAGAGTCTGAAATTTCAGATAACGCCCCCTTAAGTCAGATTGCAAACTTGGAAAGTCGGTAGACGGCACTACCCCAAGTTCATGATCCAAGATGGCTGCTCTGAGTATCAACAGCTAGTGAAAACTGTAGTTTATACTGTTTATTAGCACTTCTGTGTACTTGTGTCTTATAGAACTTTTTGTACACAAAGTGCCGTCCAACTGCTGTTTGTACACGTGTTGCTACAGTGTTTAGTGTGAGTAAATACCACACAACGCATTTTGTATCAACCGGTGTAACCATGGCAACCTGGCTAGTTGTAACCAACGGCTGGCGGAGCGAGGTTTTCCGATTTGTAACTGGAACGCCGTCAACTTGGGTGTGACGTCATTCTCAGCTCCAACCTTCAACTTCCGAGGTTAATGGAACGCAGCATAACTAGTCCTCTTATCCAGTTTAATGAGTCTTTACATTAAAATCGCCTTCTCGCGTTGTGTGTGAGTATGGAACGCTAAAAGGCTCACAATACACCACTATCCTACCTCGTTTTGTTTTTAAAAAATTGCGTAAAAAGCTTAGTTTGAACGGCCAGGACGCCGCTTTTTACGCTGCTAAAAACTATGCATTTTTCGTTGGTCTGGAGGCGGCGGAAAAAACGTTGCTCTATGTGCTCATGTAACGCCGCTTTTTTGGGGGCTCAGTGTCCCCAATGACGCTTAGTGTTAAATGATAATGAGATCCACCCTGTCTTTTCCAAAGCCAATCAGTTTGAACTGTTATCACCCAATCAGTAAATAGTGACACTTGTCACTGCTAATGACGCCGCCTTATAAGTAGAGTTGCTATTGGTTGCGGGTTCGCGACCCGTTCCCATCTCGTTTATTGCGGGAGGTTTTTCTGTTTTCTGTTACAATGGCAATCAGTGAAATGAAGTTGTAAGCAAACAAACCTTACTGTGTTTTCCTCTATTTTATTGACCTAATAGAACCAATCCAATATTAATGTACCGACTGTGCTTTACTATAAGGTGCAACGTCTGCAGGCTTGAGAAAGGAGGATGGTTGGTGTGTGCAACTGACTGTTCAGCAAATGCACAACAAATAAAAGCTTTGAATCTGCAGGGCCCTGTTTCAGAAAGCGGGTTTAGTGAAAACTCTGAGTAAATTGAGCCCGAGATTTCGCTTTCAGAGAGCGAGATCAGATTAACTCTAGGTATGTAACCCCGGCAACTTACGCTGTGAACCTAACCTGCTCGGGAGGAGATTTACTTCAACTAATGTTAGTTTCTCTCCAACTCCTCTCCTGCGGAGCTGGAAGCGGTGTGACAAAAGTGACATTTCCTCATTCATACTGTCGATATCAAATCACGGTTAAATAGGCTATTGGTTTTTTTTTTACCCAAACATGATCTTGAACATGACGCTTCATGCATCATGTTCAACTCTCTGACAAAATACGAAATGAGCAAGATTTTATTAATGGAACATAAACGTCTAAAACTTCACACTCAGTAATAGGTATAGGCCTACTGAGTTGGACTGTGGCTTTACAATCACAGGTCCATGAAGAGCCTAAAATGTGTCTAATCTGTTCGATTAATATTTTTATCTTCAGTTATTGTCACCGGCATTTAGTCCTGTCAGGTTCCAGCTGAATAAACAGGCCTGTAGCTGTTTAAAATGAACAACAGGCTGGAGGAGAATTCGAACAATTTATTATTCATTAAGGAAATTCCAGTCTGCTAAATGATGAATCAGCAACGCTGTATAAAATGTAATATTGTTAACGTATCAATCCTGCGTTTTATAGCCAATCATGGTCCGCGTTGGCACGCATTAATTTTTCTAGCTACACCCGATTAAAATAGAGGCTCTGCCTTTATTTACCCGTTGCCATGGTGAATTGTAGTATTGGAGCTCCATTGATGGCTTTTTTCCATCCCCACGCACGCGCTTCAGGCTCAACAAACTCAGAGTTGACTGAACTTATTCTGATCGGCCTGAAATGTAAAACTCGGAGTTCGTCAACCCAGAGTTCAGGTTTACAACTCAGTTTGTTGAACCCGCTTTCTGAAACAGGGCCCAGGTCTTGGCAGCACAGCAGAACGGGCGATCAGACCAAGGAGGCAGAAAAGCAAGTGTGTTCCTACATGATGCATATATCTGACATCTCACATATGAACACAGTTGACTCACCAGCTCTTCAAATCAATTAACAGTTGCTGCATCTAGACTTAATGAACCAGCAAGGATTCATTTTAGAATGGTTAGGCCTATCATACTGAATTTTTTGTAAATGTAGTTTTCCTC